AGTGATAAATTTATCGTTACGCTCATTCTTAATCCTTTCGATCCACCATCCCTCCCTTCGTACTCCTGTCTCGTTCTCGTCTCGTTCTCGTGGAGATTCACTCCGATTTCGCAAGCGGTCCCGAGGTACTCCGGCGCTCACCAGCGGATTGTATCTCTCCTCATTGAGTTCGCTCGACCGAAATCGAGCCCATCGGCATCCCACGCGCAAAGGAGCTCTGGCGTGTAATGCCGAAATGGGAGGCGAGGTGGGATCGCACGTGTACAGCATTGAAGAGAGGCCGGAGATATCGAGATTATATACGAAAGCGATGCCAAAGAGCAATCTCCCCGCTAAGGAAGCCAAAGCGCGCAACAAACTGCCTTCGAAAAGATAGTTCCTTCACGTGTTACGTTAAATAGATACGACAGACAGGCGCAATCGTTAGAATTGAAACTGTCAAAGAAGTGAAATTTTTGGTTCAGCAAGACGCGTTTACAAGTTTCAATTGAAAGATATTTATTCATATCAATAAATATGATATGTTTCAGATTGAATACATCATGGTATTTTATGTAACAGAAAAGTATATGTATATTTTGTAAAAAAAGAGATGTATGGATATTGCGAAAATTATTCTTGAGGATTCTTATCCTTTCCTTTGAAGTCGTCCAATGTAGGAAGCCACAATGTAGAGAGATGAAGTACTTTTATTACTTTTAACAGCACTCCTATGCACGTGGTATGATTATCAATTTACGCACAGAGATATCATATTATCGGCATAACGCTTGATCTTGCCCAGCAGCCGCCGGCTGCAATCGAAGGTCGTATCGATTCTAAAATCCACGAATGACCGGCCTACGCGCGAGCGAGTTCGTAGGACGTGCGAATAGCTACTAGCTACTTGCTTACTATCAAGAAAGTCGTTGCCGAAGACATATATCTTCCACGGACAATTAATCCTCAGCCTGATCTCAAGCGAGGACGCGGGCTTCTGCTGGCTCGTTGTCATCGTCGTGAATTTTTAACGATACACCAGCGGATAGATTCGATGAAATTGCGGCGATTTTGTCGCGTAAAGATAGGCGATAAATCGAACGATCGAAACGGGATTGATCGATGGTGAAATATTATGCCAACATAAAAAAAGAGAGAGGTAAAACGTTACGTTTGCGTGCTATCTGGCGAGGCGCAACTTTGACGATAATGCCGGTTTAATAATGAATATGCGATCGCCGCGTCGAAATCGATCGACAATTCGCAAGCAAAGCGGTAATTCAACTCCACGGATGAGCGATAAATCCGGTCATCGCGCCCGATTAGTTAGCACCGTCGCTGTGTTTGCGACTTCTACGGCGCTTATACCCGGTGGCCCGATGGTATCGCGGCTTCATCGTATTATTCATGAGTTTATAGTCTCGGGAGGCAGGAGAGGACTGACAAGAGAGTAGGGCGTACTCCGCGGTAGAACTGATTTTATTGCTCGTAGGTACTATCTCTGGCAAAGCGGCGACGTCTCGATATCGCTCGCACCGAGCGCCGAGACCACCCACTCTATTCGCGGCGGACGTCGTTTTTGCGCGCTCCGGTAAAACTCAACTCCGCGCACCGAGGACTCCGTCCTTCGTATATGACAAACGATCGGCCGTAACGTTGAATTAACTCTTGGCCGATCGGCGTATCCGCCAAGATGCATTGAGCCTCCATTCATGTGCATGACAGGCGGGATACTCGGCCCGTCTCGACGTATTCTGTAAGCGTAAAATGCTACATGGGCGGCCGTGTGATAACATTAATTTGAATTTGACAGCTTCCGAGGAAGGTCGAAGATGTGAGTGTATATCGATAGTTTTTAGAAGTTAATGGAGCAAAATCAGTACCATCACCATATATGCCGAGATATTGGCGGGACAATCGGAGGAATGATTGAGCAATTAAAAACTGACACTTATGGCAGCGTGCTTTCTCCACCGTCAATCGTCACTGTAATCGATAAGCTTGCAGAAACGCCCAATGTCGGTTTTCTCCATCACGCGAATGTCATTCAAAATCGCCCACAAGAAGACTATATCGATTCTCCGACTCCCTTTCCGTGTCGCACTTCTCGGCCGCGCCCCGGTGTCATATAAATAGGAATTAGATGAGATCTTGAGGAAGGAAGCCCGTCGAGACATCCTAATCTCTCTTTTTCTCGCTTAACGGATCGCTTATGCAAAATTCGCGAGTTACGATCGTAAATAACGGTGAGAAGGCTCCTTTCCTCCCGGAGACGCGCGCGTCCGTTTGTCGCCGACCGTTTAACGTCGAAGCTAATATGTGATTTGCGCTTGCGAAACGAATAACCGGCCGTAACTCCCGACGTGCTGACACGTCGATGCGCGTTTTCCGTCTCGGTACCACCGACGACGACGACGTCATGTCGACGGGCCTGCCACGCTGCCTCGGAGCGCCTCCGCTATACGCACAGCGTTATCCCTAGACTCCGAGCCCCGGCAATTTAACACGTTCTTTTTCCCTCGGCGCTCGCAGGTAGATCCTTAATTATCCAGCCGGCCAACGACCGGTTGTCATCGACAGTCAGAGTGATGAGCGCGAAAAGACCACCCGTAGCTTCCCATCCATCGTTAGATGGGTACATTCGCAGGATTGACACGGCAAAACGACGGAGGGGCTGAGTGGAAGAAGGAGAGAGATACTATATATTTACATATCGGAGCTTGATGCACCGCTCTTAGAGAGGGTACACAACGACGATAAGATACCCGCACGATAAGATATAACCGATAATAATGAAAAATAGAGAATATGAAGAAACGTGGCCATAACGATTAGAAATGAACACAAGAACCAGGCATTACGATGCTTCGATATAGGCTTGTGCAATATAAGGCCTTGTAGGTATATTGCATCGCAAACCCCTAATGTAAAGAATAAATTATAGACGTGGATCCTAATGAGAACTCATCGTGCTGCACTTTGGAGTGAAAAAAACAAAGCCGCTTTGGCGTGAGTAACATGTTCATTTTGCAAGCGACCGCTGTATACCACGGACCGGTTGGTCCAGCGAATTTTTAGCGTCCACGTTAATGGATCCTGCCGATTGTAGGATATCATCCTGTAATTTATTCATTGTCCTCAATGGAAAGCCGTTGCGATCGTTGATCGATGGCGCCGCTGATTCGAGCTGGCCAGCCACGTTGTTTAATTTATTCATCGAACTCTCTCTTTGGCCTGAAAATTTATGATATTATTATGTTTTATATGCAAAGTCATCGATTATCTATGCGCCATTCTTGCCGGTTCTCGCGCAGGTAAAGAAGCGGCGTCTGTGGAAGCGTTCTGATTTACTGACTTCGGGCTTTAACGGACAACAAAGCATCGATTGTTCTTGCTCGCTTGATGTAGCCAAAAAACAAACTAAGATTAAACTATCAGGTCTATCCCGGAGGCCGATTCGGCCCATATTTGGTTTGATTCGGACATAGCCACACAAACTTGCATATGCATGCATTATATTCGAGAAATAATGTACAATTTTTATAAAAACCGTTTATAACGTGAATTTTGAAGCTGTTGAGTTCTTACTAATCTCTTCCTTTAAAAAAATTTTAATATTTATTTAAATAAATTTATTTATTAATAAATAATAGAAATATTTTGATTGTAAGATGACAATTCTCTAATTTCAAAATTATTTTTATAAGAAAATATTAAAACTAATACTGAATTATGATACTGAAATTTAATATTGCTATCTTTTTAAGTATTTACATAAAAAATAAATATAGTTTTAATATTAGTTTTATGATTAGATTTGTGTAGGACGATTTCAAGTTTTGGTCATTACTTTTTGCGATCCATTAAAATGGCCATGAACCGTCGTTTGACATCGGTATTTTTTCCTTTCTATCATTGGCATCAGACCAAGTGCAACAAGTATATGCAAAATGCTATTACTGCAAGCTAAACGTAAAATTGAATGAACATTCGGTAATGTGAATGTCGTCGATAATGTGAATGATAATATTCCTGCGCTTTGCTACGTCGCTTCTGACTTTAAACATCGTTCACCCTTCTGTAAAATCTAAATGTCATACCGAATTATTCGCACGAATTTTCAAGTTTCAATTCTCGTCTATTGCTTTTCGTCTCGTTTTCCGATAATGCGGTCATGTACGAGAGAGTTCGTCTAAATGGACGACATAACGAAGATGCGATATCAAATATCACAAAATTGAGGATTGCTCTCTCGATACCCGATCGAAAAATGGTTTCAAAGCGAAATTTGTAAGCTATTAAAAGCCTAATTTTTGTATTAATTTTTTTGTATTCATCAATCTTGTATTCCAAAAAAGTACGATATCAGTAATATTAGTGTAACTATTTTAATAACATTTGTAAATTAGAAAATACTCTTGAAGACATATATTATTCTTAATTATATTACTCTTATATTACTCTTATTAATGATGAATTTACTATGAAAACATACTTTATTATTTTATAATTTTAATTGAAATTTATATTTATAAATTGTAAATTATGATATTTATTATCTTTTTTGCTCATTGACTAATTTTTCAAATAATCATCTACTTTAATTTATATTAATACTTCATGCTTTCTCCTGCCTGTCTCCTTCTCTCTCTCTCTCTCTCTCTCTCTCTCTCTCTCTCTCTCTCTCTCTCTCTCTCTCTCTCTTTCTCTCTCTCTCTTGTTCTTTCTCCTTCTCTCTTGCGAATTATCTCATTACAACAGATATATGTAATATTTCATCAAAATATTAAATGCTTATGGATTTCCTATCAGTATATCCATAGAATTGTGCTATGCATTTTAATTGAATTACTAATATCATTAGTCAGATCAATGCATAAACAAAGCACTTGCATTTCCGGTCATTGTATATGCGATATAATCAGATATGCTCACGCGAAACAACTTCGTTCCTTCGTTGTTCATCGACATCCGGCAACTTCAGGCACGTATTCAGGCTGATTTAGCACGAGCCAGTCATAATGATTGTATTCCTAGTACTTCTGACGCTTTTCATCGCGACTGTTGATGGCGGTCTACTTGAAAAATACGCCAACGCATCCGGAAACGTATATCACGGTAGGTAAGTGCATTTGCATTTCGCAATCGCTGTCAGTTTCTCGCCGTGGCGAAATATCAATGACGAAGGACAGCAACAAATTACGACAAAAGATTATTCGATAAATTTTTAAAATAGAAAAATAAACTTATACAATTATAAAATTTTGTTATCTTATTCATAACGTTCTCGTTCGATCGATGTCGGTGATGTAATTGTGTCCCTTGAATAAACTAGGTATACCCGAGATATCCATGGGCCGGAGCTCCTGATACCGAGGCGAGTGTTCGCGGACGGTAGATTCAGCACGTATTCCTTGCCGAATTTCTATAACCGTCGAGAGATCAGCGAGCGTGGCAAGCGATCCCTCGGATCGGCCGATATACTGCACCTGGTGCTACCCTTTAACGGAATCGATCACCATGTGGAGCTCAGTCCGTACCATGAATTCATCTCGCCTGACATGGTGGTGGAGACGCGGGGTGCCGGGATCAACACGAATCTGAACGAAGGTTTGAGATTCAGGAAGGCGTCCGATCGGCAGTGTCATTATCGCGGTATTATTCGGGGCCACACTAATTCCAGGGCGGCTCTGTCTTTGTGCGACGGTGTGGTTAGTATATTATACACCGTATTTCCATGTAATTTCTGTTGAGAACATCGGTGTTAACGAACCGGGAAAAAACAATTCTGACATATTTCATCGTGTTGGCAAAGTACGCCTTTCATGCTACGATGTCCTTCGATAAAGGATCTACGAATTACGCGTTATTGGTCTACCGTGGATACTTTTAATACTTATATTATATTAATAATATATTATATTATATTGATAGAGATAATATTATTAATTAATCTTTTGCGCTGCATTTGAAGATAAAATAATTGATCGCGTGATCTGACAGTCTCATTTGTCTCTTTACGAAGAAAATTAATTAATTTAGCCACGTCAATTGATGTAACATCCGGTTAAGTTTGCGACTCAGATTTAAATCTTTACGCATGCGGTTCGTATGGTTTGTTATTAATTTTGATGAGAGTTGCGAGCTGGAGATAGAACAGAATTTCGAAGTGGCTACGAGTGTGGTTGGTGCACATAATGCGTTCCACAGATTCCTTCGGGAGATTAACGTTAACGAAGCAAGAGGAGAATCGCGAGTGCAGTCGGACGGATATTGTAGAAAGGTTGTGCTGGAACATTCTCTAAATCTCGTCGAAATTCGATGCAAATGTTATGATATTTTTAATATCATACTATATTCTCATACATTTTATTATTACGAAGTTTGCCGTAATAATTGGACAGAATTTCAAATGTTCGAAGACTTATGGCGTAGTTATATTTTACAACAAAGCATTCCGTTAGACAATGTTAAAAAATATTTTGGTAATATATATATATATATATATATATATTTCTTGAATTATATAGATGTTTAAAGATAAACATCGATATTATTTTGGCGAATCTGAGCTGATCCTTTTGGAAAAATATTTTCTTTATTCAATCATAATTGGATTATGGTACTAGGGAAAATCGAGTTTCCCGATTACATCGTATACGAATATCGATATTTGCGTTGAATAGTCGAAGCGATAGTAATACTACAGTGAGATATTCTCAATAGTCTCGAAAGTAGTTTTCCGCTATGACTCGTTATTTTCAGAGTACAAGGCGAACGATTACGCGTGCAGATAAACTGCAATGCCTAGTTGATTTTATTAAATGTAAAGTCGCGACGCATGTCGAGAGCGCGATTACCATCTATGACTTTTTCGTCGGTCACGCGAATTTGCGGCGAAACGAATCGGCAAGCGACATTCGCGTCCGTAACAGGTGACCCGTTAAATGCGGGTTTGTACGTAAATGTTTTTAAATGCGATGAGCAACTAGAATCGACCAAAATGTCACGTAAAATGTGACGCGTTTGGCCTTTTCCATTCTGACGATCCACTCGACGAGTATCATCAGTTCTATCAATTTATATTTATGGCATTTCGATATATAATTATATATTTATATCACACTGAGAATATCTCTAGACATACTGATACAAAGTTAGTTTTAATCTGGTGTAACTTATCTCCAGTCAAATGCTGAAATCAATAAGATAGAATCCCAGTAGAATTAATTCAATTATTAATAAATCTTAATATATGTTACGTATGCATGACAAAAAAAACAGCGTTTATAATATATTTGTAATATATAATTTCACATGTTAATCGTAATGCTGATCTTTAATGGCGCGATGAAAATTTCGCAATGTAACGACTTTACATAAATCAAATACTAATGTGTCAATGCTGCAAATATAAATGTCGATATTTTATTTTCTATCACTATTATTATCGGCAACGTGACACACCTCTCGCGCGCAGGCTGGTTACGTGCAAACTAATCACGGGCGATACTTCATCGAGCCAGTGTATCAGACGGAACCCGAATCCGATGGCCAACATATTCACGTGGCTTACAAACGAGATGCACCGCACGAGGAAAAAGGGCAAACCGGTACCATGTCGAAAAGACATTGCGGAACTAGTGGTTAGTGCTTTCTTCAGATATTACCCGCATTTTTATTTTTCCTCTCTTCCTAAAAGTAATTTTGAACGAGACTCGGCACTGTCGGACATATCCCATCATTTATTATTTTAACATTTCACTTTAACTCGAGACGATATATAGTTCCCAGCCCGTGTCGCAGGCATTTATTATGTACCGTAACGCGAGAGGATTTCGCATAGTTACGAGCAAGTGACAAATAATGGCGCGTAGTTTGTGGAAGCTCATTCCCGCTTTAACAGACAACTGGGAATCAGCGTGGGCGGAGCAGCTAGCTAAAAGGCAGATGCAACTAATGGAAAATAATTCTCTCGGCGCGAAGCGTGATACCGCAGTATCCTCAGGAACGTACAGTATACATCGATACATTGAAATTGGACTAATTGCCGATCGGAGATTCCTCGACTTCCACAATAGTACGGATTATGAACAGTATCTCTTGACGATTATGAACATGGTGTCTGACTTTTATCACGATAGCTCCGTGGGGAATCAAATCGACGTCGTCTTAGTACGAATGATATACTTGGAGAAAGAAAAAGAGGAGGTAACGTGCAATCATTATTATAAAATTATTAATAGAATATATTTAATAGAAAGAGAAAAAGATATCACAATCAAATTTTATTACCTTATTTATCAGAAATGAATAAATTATTTTAAACAATCAATATATATTATAAATGTGTATTGATTCCAATTTATTGAAATAACTTTTTAATTAAATTAAGAATATCATTTATATATTTATATATGATATTGATGTCTGATTTATTTTGCTCGTAGATAGATTTGCTTATTAGTCCGAATGCAGAGAATACATTGGAGAGTTTTGCAAAATGGGCAGAGAAAATAAATCCAAAGGATGATACTCATCCCAATCATTACGATATCGCGGTATTGGTTACTAGGTAATTTGCCTAGGTGTTGATCTAATCATCATATATATCGTGTTGTTACTTGCATTCTTAGGTATGACATTTGCTCAGAGGAAACCAATTGCGATCTAATGGGTCTGGCTCATGTTGCTGCGGCTTGCGATTCAGAGAAAGCAGCTTGTATTAATGAAGACAGCGGACTTTTGCTCGGCATTGTGGTTGCTCACGAAGTTGGTCACGTGTATTGTCCATGCATTTCTATAATTAAATACTTTTAAGTGATTTTAGAAAATTATATAAATTCTAAATTCAAAAATTTTTGAAAAAGGATATACTTTTTAATTTAAAATAAACTTTTTTTTTTAATTGTGTTTATACATATTTTTTTATGGTTACTTTGTGCAATTATTGCAATTAGAAATACGCTTCATATTATAATACAAAATGTTTTAAATAACGCTGTTCTAATTTCTTACACAAATATTACTTTATAGAATGGGTTGTTCTCATGATGAGCCTGAAACCAGTGGATGTCCATCAATGGACACAGATGATAGTTACTTCATTATGTCCCCTATCGTCTTCTTATATACCATTAGATGGTCGAGTTGTAGCAGAAGATTTATAACAGCTTTTCTCGAGTAAATCGAGTTGCATAAGTAATGATCTGAGTGCTTAAGTAATGGCCTTTTTTAATTGTGCAATGAGGCACAACTTATGCAAATATATAGCATGTTTAATACATAATTCTGTGAAAATTATTATTATTTCATTGTATAAAGATATTTAGAATATTAATTGATCAATAGTATTTCTCTCCATTAACTATTCTTACATTAGTATCGTAAAAATTATCTATTAATTACCTCATATATGACATTATCATTGAGCTCTAGCAGAATTTATCCTGTAACCTATCGATAAATCTAATCATACAACATATTTTATTTTTTAAAGCAAAAATTTTTATGTTATTTATTAAAATCTCTAATCGATGTGTGTATCAAAACATCATTCATTATTTTATATTTGATATATTGAAATATTTAATTTTATTTTTTATACTGAAATATTTAATTTTCTAATTATAATTTGTTTTAAAATGATAAAATGATAAAATTTATTTGTGAACAAGGAGCGGACTGGGAGATTGTTTGAATGACAATCCAAGAAATCCACCAGAGAAACTGAAATATCCTAACATGTTACCGGGTGCAATGTACGACGCTGCCTTTCAATGTGATATGCAGTTCCCTGGCTCGAAAGTGTGCCCGCAATCTCAAGTAAAGTTTTAATAAACTTCTCTCTTAATTGCGTTTTAATGTTTTCGATTCGATAGATGCAAATAGATGCGAATTACTATTTAGCGAAATTTAATGTTCTTCTTATTAAGTCGATAATTCCATATCGTGTACTAGCTATATCTGCATTCCGTCTGCATTTTATCTGCTATTGGCTCATCAGAAATGATACGGCTTTTATTAATCGCTCGTTATATTTGCTTGGATAAAATATATTCGATTATCTCGATTGCGCTGACAGGATATTTACTCTTTGAATAAATTATTTGATGTTACATTCATGCAACGTTTGCCTCGGTATTGGATTTCGGAGTCGACAGTTTGATATCGTATGAGATCGCGTTTGAGTTGCACTCTCTTATCCTATTCCTTTAAGTCTAATCTGATTAGTCCGGGATCTTCGCGATCATGTGTATATTTCAGGCGAGCGGCTGCGAGACCTTGTGGTGCTTGGTCAACGCGAGCTGCTATTCCCTGGGGACGCCGAAGGCTGATGGTACAAAGTGCGGTGAGAATAAGGTGCGCGCAGCTTACGTAGAACCTGTTCCTTCGGCAAAACATATTCCCGGCGCGGATTATTTAGCAACCGCTTAGCATCGTTGTTTATGCATCTGCAGATATTACCGGCGACATAAATAATACGTCGCTGCGAGGTGACATCAATTATCAAACGAACGCGAACGCAAATGGCTTTCGACGCGATCGAAAGCCATTTGCGAGGCGCAAGTCGCGTCCCGGAACGCCGCCGGAACATAGCGAAATAAAAGGGCGTTTCTCCGTCTCTCTCTCTCTCTCTCTCTCTCTCTCTCTCTCTCTCCCTCTCCCTCTTTTGAGAGCAAAGAGATTTATTAAACGACGCGCCTTCCTCGCCTCGCTTCTCGCGGATGTAGATTTCGCGCCTTCGGCGCGCTCGCGAGCGACGGACGTAGATTTAATCGCGCCGGGGAGATAAATTGAAGTGTCAAGAAACTTCGTGCGACTCTCCGCGCTGGAAATTGGTATTCGCGTGAAGCGTGGAGACGGAGAGCCCGCGAGACATATTGCATTCTTCTAACCCGCGGGACAAAGGTAATATAAAGGGCATTGTGTGCGTGGACGCGAATCTAGTGGTGCATCCACAAGAAGTGCGTGGACATGGGTACTCGACCGGCCGCGGTGCACGGCGGGTGGGGCAAATGGGGTCCCATGGGTTCATGCAGCAGGACCTGCGGCGGTGGCCTCAAGTACTCCGAGAGGGAATGCGATAATCCGGTACCGGCAAATAGTGGCAGATACTGCATCGGCGAGAGACGACGGCTTTTCACTTGCAACACTACGGTAAATTGCATCTGTCTTTCGTTACTTCTCGCGTGCCACCATTTCGAGCTTCGTTTCATCACGATACTCAACGTTAACTACGCGATTCTTCCTCTGACGACTATTTCCAGTTGCTGACCGAATTCACATTCCAAGCCACACACACCGACGATGTCTTTATCTTACTCTCATGATTGCGGTGAGATGGCTGACAGCGTGGCGTCGTCACGCGTACGGGATTTTTATGTTTTCCAGCAGCGAGATATCCCGGTGGTAATATGAAATAGTAACGTGAGCGGTACAACATGCCGTCAGAAATTCAGTTCGAAAGCGAGACGGAAAGAGAGAAACTGTATCGTTGCCACGAGCACCTCCGTGACTCCGGAACTCCGACGAAACCGTTTTAATTCTTTTTAGTTGCACGACGATTCTCTATGCTGTCGCAATTCTCCCGTATACCATCCCGCACAGAATTCCGTCACACATTCGCTATAATGTTCCGCATTAAATTGTGCAGCCCTGCGACCCGACGAAACCGCCATACCGCGCGGTGCAATGCTCGGAACACGACAACGAAGAGATTCTGACGGACGGGCTTCATCAATGGAAGCCATATATAGATCCAAAATTAGAACCTTGCGCGCTCTACTGCATCAACGAGAAGCAAACTTACGTGAAGATCTCGCCGACGGCAAATGATTCGACACCCTGCAAGGCTGGGACCAACTACATGTGCATTTCTGGAACGTGCAGGGTGTGAAATCGAAACTTTTCGAAATAGAATCGCCTTACCGAGAAATCTCTACTATCCGTACTGGAATTGTCACCTTCATTCCGTCGATAAAATCCGTCAGCTAAAAATATCGAATTTTCCCAATTTTTTTATATATTTAGCTTGCAGTTTTTACGAGTTGCCTATATTTATTAATATATATACATATATCGTAAATATAAAAAGTTAAAAATATTCTTATGTTTTTTATTATTTTTTTAGATTTCCTACGTTTTTGAATTTTTTTTCTATTTTTCAGAAAAATTTCTAAAAGTTTTAATCTCTAAGTCTTGGAAGTCTTACTTGACAAAAATTATTGAAAATTATTATAGTTTGGATATTATATCTCAAACAACAACCATAATCAAATTAATAATGTATTGAAAATAATTAATAGCATACATTTGCATTATCCTCGTGCAATTAAATTGAGTGATAAAGTTTTTTGTTTCTGTCTATTTTATGTGCACGTAATTACTTTGTTTGTAGCTGGAGTGAAAAAATTAACTAATAATATCTATTAATTAATAATATAAATCTATTAGAACTACACATAGTGTAATAAACTCAAATGACTTGGCATAAGAAACACAATGAAATTTACAGTTTTGTTAATATTTCTTTGAAAAAAGTACCATATTCTTTTACAAATATCTTTTTATAGAGATTATTTTTTGTGTGACATTTATGATTCTTGTCATGTCAAATATCATGATACCAATTTTCTACACTGTAGAAAGTTGGATGCGATTGGATGATAGATTCAGAGGCAATCGAGGACAAATGCGGTATATGTAAAGGCGACGGAACCAAGTGCAGGGTGGTGAAGGGCGAGTTCACTGAAACAGTGCCACAGAGTGGTAAAAATTCAGTAGCTTGTACTGCCAAACGAAACCGCATGGTTTTCTTCCTGCAATACATTGTTCATCTCTCTTTGCAGCATATGTGACGATCGTGACAATTCCGAAGGGAGCTCGAAGCGTGCAGATTTTGGAGAGGAAACCCAGCGAGAACATATTGGCCGTGAAACTCGCAAAAAATAAAACATACTGCATCAATGGAGAGAAGTGAGCTTCTGCGAACTCTTGCACGAGTTGCTTCTTTTTTTTCCGTCTTTAATTTATAACGCTCATAGCGCGTATAAATGTTCTGGAAAAATTGATATGCACAGATGTTTTTTGTAACTATGATAAAACGCATAATGTATTTTTACTTTATGATGGCATACTTTTATGATGTCGTCGTTCGTATAGTCGTGAGTTTAGGAGTGGAGATTACGAGTGTGCTGGAACGATGCTTATCTATACGCATCCGGAGCCTGACAAGGAAGTAATAGACATGAAAGGCCCAATATCCGAAGATATCGAGATACAAGTAAGTTATGTTTATTTTTTAATGATTATTCCGATAT